CTGGCGCAGATGGTTCTCTCCCCCTAGCGGTAAAAACCCCCGGAAACGGCCGGCCTCTACACTCGGGCGAGAGTGCAGAGCTTCAGCTCAGATGAAGGAAGTTGCCTATAAAATAAAACTAAGATATAGATGAAAATAATATGTAGGGGAGAGAAGAAAACAAGAGAAACTTGTTGTATATTTTTTTTCTTTTCATTTTGAGCTCAACATACGGATATATATATAGGGTTGGAAAAGACGTTACAAAACCCGTAATTAATTCTGTAACGTTCGTCATAAATTTTGTAACGTTCTCCATAATTATATATCCGTTACACATATTTTTAATTGCATGTTTTAATTATAATATTTATTATAATTCATGAAGGCAAAATTGCCTTTTGTTAACAAAATATCTAACAAAACCATCGATACAAGTTCGACACAAGGATAAAATAACAGAAGCTGTTTAGGATTCTGGCCAATCCAACAACTAAAAGTAAATTTTATTACCAGAAGACTTATCAAATATGTTTGGTGGAAGAAAAAAAAAACGGTTTCGGCCTTGTGCTCATCTCATAACACATAAGATAAAAGTTGAAGAGAGAGCACTAATGAGAAATTAAAGCAAACTAAAGTTTTGGACGGCTGTAGTAGGTTTGTTTTGGTGAGAAAGTACATTACTTAAGTTTGTCCAGATTGAGAGTAGTTTATACAAAGACGTGGGGTATTCTTTAGGTTTCCTCTAAATATTTTTTTTTTTTGATCCCTTGTGAATTCAATCATTAATGGGGCAGCTCCCTTTTCTAGAATGCTTTACTCTATAGTCTATATACTGCTACCTTTTTACGCGTGAATACAACTCATCAAACTTATAATACTCCTTAAACTTGATTGGTGTTTACTTTATATTTTTCTAATAATCAACTCGAGGTGACTTAACAACCAAAAAAAAAAAAAGACCACAAAGAAACTAATCCAATAAACATTAAACATTATCATTTGATATTGCCAGTTTAGACATCGTACTTAACAATTTCTGCCTGAAAAAAATTTCAACTAAGCCTCACAACAGTTTATTGTTGACCTAAGGGATTTTTGGTACTGAAGACCTTACTCTATTTTTAAAAACTTGTCGTGATACAAATTTATCTATATGAACTGCAGATATTGATCGTTTATGTATGTTATACAATTTGCACAAAATTTTTCTGTGAACCGTTGCATCAATTTTTGAGAAAATAATTACTGTCTAATACAATTTGGATTTGAGCTCTACTCTAGACCCAGACCTACTACAGTCACAGTTGCGTATCTTAATTTTGGGTTTTTTTTAATATTAGTCTCTCAAATCTTTCATATTTTGCCTTTGAAAACAGTCCCCACAAGCCTTCATGTTTTAAGCCACTTCCTCCATATCTCAGGCCTGACGGGAGCAGTCGTGTATTCACTGCCCTAGAAGATTGAGAACCCGCCTATCGCCCTGGCGCAGATGGTTCTCTCCCCCTAGCGGTAAAAACCCCCGGAAACGGCCGGCCTCTACACTCGGGCGAGAGTGCAGAGCTTCAGCTCAGATGAAGGAAGTTGCCTATAAAATAAAACTAAGATATAGATGAAAATAATATGTAGGGGAGAGAAGAAAACAAGAGAAACTTGTTGTATATTTTTTTTCTTTTCATTTTGAGCTCAACATACGGATATATATATAGGGTTGGAAAAGACGTTACAAAACCCGTAATTAATTCTGTAACGTTCGTCATAAATTTTGTAACGTTCTCCATAATTATATATCCGTTACACATATTTTTAATTGCATGTTTTAATTATAATATTTATTATAATTCATGAAGGCAAAATTGCCTTTTGTTAACAAAATATCTAACAAAACCATCGATACAAGTTCGACACAAGGATAAAATAACAGAAGCTGTTTAGGATTCTGGCCAATCCAACAACTAAAAGTAAATTTTATTACCAGAAGACTTATCAAATATGTTTGGTGGAAGAAAAAAAAAACGGTTTCGGCCTTGTGCTCATCTCATAACACATAAGATAAAAGTTGAAGAGAGAGCACTAATGAGAAATTAAAGCAAACTAAAGTTTTGGACGGCTGTAGTAGGTTTGTTTTGGTGAGAAAGTACATTACTTAAGTTTGTCCAGATTGAGAGTAGTTTATACAAAGACGTGGGGTATTCTTTAGGTTTCCTCTCAATATTTTTTTTTTTTGATCCCTTGTGAATTCAATCATTAATGGGGCAGCTCCCTTTTCTAGAATGCTTTACTCTATAGTCTATATACTGCTACCTTTTTACGCGTGAATACAACTCATCAAACTTATAATACTCCTTAAACTTGATTGGTGTTTACTTTATATTTTTCTAATAATCAACTCGAGGTGACTTAACAACCAAAAAAAAAAAAAGACCACAAAGAAACTAATCCAATAAACATTAAACATTATCATTTGATATTGCCAGTTTAGACATCGTACTTAACAATTTCTGCCTGAAAAAAATTTCAACTAAGCCTCACAACAGTTTATTGTTGACCTAAGGGATTTTTGGTACTGAAGACCTTACTCTATTTTTAAAAACTTGTCGTGATACAAATTTATCTATATGAACTGCAGATATTGATCGTTTATGTATGTTATACAATTTGCACAAAATTTTTCTGTGAACCGTTGCATCAATTTTTGAGAAAATAATTACTGTCTAATACAATTTGGATTTGAGCTCTACTCTAGACCCAGACCTACTACAGTCACAGTTGCGTATCTTAATTTTGGGTTTTTTTTAATATTAGTCTCTCAAATCTTTCATATTTTGCCTTTGAAAACAGTCCCCACAAGCCTTCATGTTTTAAGCCACTTCCTCCATATCTCCCACGTGTTTTGAAATTAGTACTCCAGAGCCATCATATTCTGAAATTACTCCTTCAAAATCTAGTAAATGGTTCTGAAATCAGTAGCCCAAATCAGTTAAAATTAAAGAAATACTTCACTCCAAATCAAACAATTGGGGGACAAATTTTAAAATATTTTAACAAAAAGTTATAAGATTTGGGGGACCATGTTCAATTTTCAACTTTTTGGGGACTAAAATAAAGGTATTAAAGATTTGAGGGACTAACACCGAAATAAGCCCTTAACTTTCTACTAATAAATTAGAAACTAGAAATCAATCTCAATGTTTGGTTTTCTTTTTGAGGTAAGAAAACGAGGAAAATGGAATCAGTAAATTTTCTAACGGCTTACTCAGAGAGAGATGTTCAAAAAGTATGAGAAAGAGATACCGCTATCAATTTCTGAACGGCACAGCGATGCAAACTTCTGACATTAATTTCAAAAACTAGGAATGTTCCATGAGCTCCGGTGGAAGCTGGCGACAGTCTTTACTCTTATCCAATACCAACAACTTGCTTGCAATTTTAATTTTTAAAGTCACCTACACAGTTGTCACGTGAGACCTAGCATGTTTTTTGCACATTAACATGTCTTCAGACATAAAACATATCAAAGCAAAAAAAAATTATTTAAGTTGTCCTTATGATTAGAGAGGTATAACCACCAACTCTACCTTAGATAATCTACAAAGATAATGGAAAAACTACTCAGAATAGATATTTAATCATGAAGTTGAATTATTTCTACTATATGGTTAAAAAAACCTACTTTTTTTAATCACAATCATTATTATTTAATAAGCATTAGTTTTTACTTGCGTCATGTGGGGGATTAAGTATTATAATTTTATCGTATTCAAAAGGCAATGGTAAAAATAATGATTAGCGTGACAAAGAAGTTGGAAGATTTCATTAACTTTAATACGCGGAGAAAGTATAAAAGAGAAGAAGAAATGCATAGCAATTGCAAATTTGCATGCAACGAGAACTACTTTATCGGTATAGTGTAGTCATTGAGTGGATTAAAAATAAGTACATCCTACAAGTGGATATGTTGACAGTTGTATAAACCAATAACAACCATTCCAAGAAGAAATTGGTAATTAAATTCTGACGTGAAACAAAAAGGACAAAAGATGCAAATTCTTAATTTATTCAGATGAGAGTGAGTTAGAATACTCCAATTATTGTAAAGCTCAATCACAAAGATGACTAGGGAAGTCTCTTCTCACGTGCAGCGCACAAATACCACATGTGGCCTCCATCGAAGAGAAAGGCAAGGCACATAGCTAGCTGTATCAGTCTCTCATATTTATGGGTGTTTGTCTTCTTTATGACAAATGGAAGGGAGCAAATTGAAAAGTAAAGTATGTGGCTTTGAGGAGCTTTACAGTACATCTTTCCACTTGTGGCTTTTAAAGCCTAGATGCTTGTGGGCATAAGTTTTTTTGTGGATGTGAGAATAAAGGGTAGTGGCATCTATACTCCTAAGGAGTGAGTTATTGTGTAATTTGCGTATGTCAGCTCAATTATGTCAACTTGAAAATGCAAATTAGCACCACAAGGCTAAGAGTAGAGCTCAATTTGAAGTAATCCAATGCATAATTCAGAACTTAAAAGAGTGGTTTGATAGTTCGACATCAATCAAGTGTATCTACATTATAGCTCTTTGAAGTTGTATGCTATACGTAAATAAATATATATTCAAAAGTTGACATTTCCAGGCCAAAAAAAAATGAAGAAGCAACAATTCCCTTGCAAATTCTTAAATCAAATAAACAAGTAGATACGCACATCGCCCCTAAATTCCCCGGACACATTGTATATATTGTCAATCAAATTGATTCTTCAGCTCAAATAATATTTGAATTCTCCATATGCTACTTCATGTGCTAAATGTTTAAATATAAATGTATCCTACAATTTGAAACAAATTTCAACGCAAAATGAAGCTTTAGAATTTGACCTATTAGAGGGCAGCTCCTGAAATTTGCACTACATCGCAGCCATTATAAAAATTCTCCATCATGCGTATTTGGTTTGCTTCTTCCCTAAATTTTCAACAGTAAACAACGCCAAAGACAAACAAGCTACGAAATACTTTAACAATGCAAATAGACAGATAATGGATGTAACATCTAGCATTTCTCAATTAAAAACAGAACACAAAGACCACAGGTTTCCACATCACAAGATCCCACCTCATGCAATTCCCATTATTTACATGTCACCACACAATGGAATCCCCTCCCCCCTAAATATACCAATATGCTTGCTATATACAACACTAAAGATCACAGCCAAACAAGCAAATGCTCACTAATGAGCATCATATATGTATATTTACAGGGGCTACAGCTGCTTCCTTTGTTGCACATCAAGCACTAAATCCCTTGTGGAGTGAACTCCAGGGGTTAGCAGGAACTCGAAGGCAAGCTTGAGCAGAAACCTCAGCCATGGTTTCCTTCTTTATACCGGCATTGCAGAAATTTGCAAGGGAGCGCATATGTTTCATGCCATATTGAGATAGAGAGCCGCAACTTGCTTCAAAGGAACGAACCTGAAGTAAATGATGAAAAGCACAGAAGTTATGTTATGAGTAGGCCGTGATGTATAGTTGGAATTTTGGGTTCACAATAGGTTCAGTTAGAGAAGGGAGTAATAGGTTACAGCTGTATTGTATATAATTTCAATTCATTAAGATGGTTTTTGCTATACGCACGCATTGTTGCAGTGGAAGTCCTGAAAATCTCTCACAACAAAAATTCAAATTTATTGATTTTGCACGAGCATCCTGATTGAACCAGGAATAACGATCGTACTTAAAATTTACAATTTGATTCATGTGCAAAAAAGATTAGATCAAATTAGGTTTTTATTAACATAGAAAACACTCTGAAGAAAGAAAACATAAATAAACAGTGCTGTTGTTGCAGATAGAACCCCTGATTGAGTTCTATTGTTGCAGCTAGAACTGCAGCAGTAAGCTCAATTCAGGGATAGTATAGGGGTTTATCCACAATTAACCCTTTTTCAAAAGTAAGATTTTATACCTTCCAACTTCTAATGGAAAGATGAAATAGGTCTCAAAAGGAAAAACACAAACAGACAAGCACATTTGTGGAGACAAACCACATTTGTCCTGGTATTTGATTTTAAATCAATTTTAGATATAAAATAAATGGTCTATCGGAAATCCCTAACTTCTGTTAAGTAATGAAGATGCGTAATTTGCACACTTACCAAAGACTTGAGGCAGCCCCAATCATCCACCAAAGGTTTTCCTGCAGGCCGAACAGTCTTCAAAACTTCTCTGCCTTTCTCAGAACCAAAGAGGAGCTTTGCTATGAGCTCTACACTGTTATCTACGTGCAATCGATGGTTCATCATATCAAGAAGCTGCTTCTGAGCATCAAGTTTCTTGGATGAGCCCTCTGGTGATCTTTGGAACTTTATAACAAAGAAAAATAAAAGTCAGTCCATAGAAAATGCAATATGATTAATTCAAACCTAAATTTACACAAAGGGGAAGCTAACCTTGTTCCAGTAATAAACAAGATCTGCATCTCGCTGGTTCACAGCCTTGGAAAATGATGGTAACAAGTTATCATCAATGAAGGTGCAGTTTTCATTGGCAGGATTTGATCCCATATATAAGAAGAGGTGATCAGAAGAAAGCCTCAGATTCCCATATTGCATAACATGGGAACCAAGGTTGTATGTGTTATGACCCGATGTCCTGGTTTTGACCTATTAAAAAATATATATATATAATATATATATATGAGATTGCAAAAGCTTGGGGAATTAGGGGATAAATTTCATGCACATACCAGTTCATACTGCTGCTTAACAGATTCAGTTCGCAAATTGTGGATGTCACTGAACATACAAGAAACAAGCAAACATGAGAAGCAGAAAAAAATACCATACAAACAATTCAATTTCTAAATCTAAACTTCAGAAAAGTGAACAAATTATAGAAACACATCCAAAGAAATATATTGATATTGAACATTAGTACATGCTGAATGCTACCTTCTCGGGTTCAGAAATTCCAGTTCCCTCTACAATACTTAATTTGAGGTCCATATAGCTTTCAAATGTACAGTTAAGCAAACCACTATCCTTTATAATCATTAATCAAATATAAAGATAAAATGTGCGACCGTCTAGGATAATTGATCATCGAGTTGTGCAAGATTTAAACTAATTCCAGTTTATCAATTTCTGACAAAAAAATGGAGGTTATACTTCTATTCTCCCTGATTGTTAATCATATTTTTATATATTATGCGTTTCTGAAAATTTGTATGAAGCTGAGGAGTTGGACATGAGACATTTAACCAACATGTAGTTCATTGGATATTCTATATATGCAATGTCTAAACTCTCTCTCTCTCTCTCCTCTCTCTCTTTAAAAACAAGGGCTTTCTCAAACTCGTCGCCCTGGCCCTCGCCCTTCTCGCCGTCACCACCTCCGCCCAGGCACCAAAAGCTCAAACTCAAGTAGCTTCCGAAAGTATAGATTTGTACCTGTCTTCCATCCAAGCAACACTGTATAAATCTCCCAAACAAGTCCAGTATTCTGGAGGAGGACTAGGGTACTCTCCGGGGCAGTAAGTTCCCCAACTACTTTCCACAGCATTTGAGGCTGTTGTTCCATAAACATTTATATTTTCCGGAAGCAAACCCTCAAAGATACTCCCAGATTCACAAGCTTCAAGATAAAATACCTTAAACAACAAACAGGACAGTTAATTTTCCTAAATAGGACAAATAAAGTTTTAACTATGGACAGACTGAAAATCACGATTATAACATTGAAGATCAGTGAGTTACCATGCTTTTGTAGGTTCCCATGGCATGCTTTTTCTTTAGTGTAGCTACCAAGTCGTCAGCATAAAGGTAAGGATAGGTAGGCATACCTGGAATATATCACAAACATAAGAGAAGTATTAAGTATCATTGTTGAAACATCATAAATGATAACTAAAGAAGGAAGAAGCAAGAATATAAAAAAGGTTATGTGCTAGGTTTCCAATTTTCTAAGAGTACAAGAATATGATGCATATTATTAGTAGTGAAACGTTTATATTGTCATCGTCAATATCAACGAACACCCTACAAAAGTGAGGTCAGATGTGGAGCATAATTCATGTCTGAAAAGCTCCCAGAAAGAGTTCTGAAGATGAAGAAGGAAGAAGCAAGAATATAAAAAAGGTTATGTGCTAGGTTTCCAATTTTCTACGAGTAAAAGAATATGATGCATATTATTATTAGTGAAACGTTTATATTGTCATCGTCAATATCAACGAACACCCTACAAAAGTGAGGTCAGATGTGGAGCATAATTCAAGTCTGAAAAGCTCCCAGAAAGAGTTCTGAAGATTCCACAACTGGTTGTCAACCTGATGTCAGCATTCTATGAGATAATACTATATAGGAAATGACATAGGACTTTGAGGAATAATATACAGTAAACAGTTAGATAATCCCATAGCCCACAAATTTCAAAACAACTTAGTGACGAAGTTCTTGGCATCAATTATTCCCTGTTTATGTCCCTTTGATGTCAAATAAGTGAAAACAATGTCATTCTTAACATTTAACATTTACAACTGTCACATAAGAGCCCAAAATTAATAAGAAATACTGACCAAGAACACCAGGGCCACCATGATCTGAATAAAATATGAAGATATGATCATTAGGACCACTATCAACGACCTTTCCACTTCCTCCAGTTAGAGCACTCTTATCTCCAAGGAGAACAGCGAGAAAGTTGCCAACTGTAACATCTTCACCAACATAATCCTGAATACACATCCTAATCAGAATAAATTGCAAAATCACAGAAGGACTGAAATTTCTCTAAAATTTAGGACAAACCTTAGGAACCCCATTGTAGACATCTCCACCTTGAGGGTGATTAATAATGACGCCAGGCCTGGGGTTTTCCTCATTGTGAGCAATATCATCATACATGAAAACAATGATATTCTCATCTTTCAGACCGCCCTTTTTCATGATTTGATATGCGTGACAGATGTCGGCCTAAGAGAACATCACAGAATAATGAGTTATACATCAAATTGTGTGACCTAAACATATTTGAACGATCTTCGAGAAGATTTGGATGTTAAAAAGAAATCATTTTCCAGCAAAAGAACATCAAAAAGTAATTACATATTGCTGAAACATCTACAATTTCGAAAATTTTAAACTTCACTTAAATACCTCTATCTACTAATAATTCCAGATCAAGGTTGAAGTAATCTTTAATTTTGGAGGTAGCCTACTAAAATTTGAAATAGTCTTAAGAAGAGTTTCCAGTGGATCACTTCCTTTCCTAATTAAGATCCTCCACGCTCTTGGAAGGATCTTTTTATCAACACCGTCATTAAAATCCAGTATGCCCAGATGTATATAGGCTCTTGCTCTATTAGGTAAAGAAATACGCTTATGCTCCTGAATATTAAAAGGATGGGAGAGGCAAGCGGGAATTCGATAGTAATGACGTGAGCAAGTTTAAGCAGGGACAATGAGGTCAGCCACAATTCATGATACTAGCTACCAAAACAGGATAGCAGCAGGATGCAATTAATCATTTCATAAAAATTTGACTATAGTCTTTATTTTCAAATCTCCCTTCATGTGAAATGTGACAAACTTCACTGCGGACTTAATCAATAGCAAAGGAAATGAAGTGCTTTAACATTTTGAAATGAAACTAAAAATTGCATAAGTTCATACTAACATTTGATCTTTACACAAATTAGGTGGCGACAGGATGCAATTAATCATCTCATAAAAATTTGACTGTAGTCTTTATTTTCAAATCTTAATTCATGTGAAATGTCACAAACTTCACTGTGGACTTAATCAATAGCAAAGGAAACGAAGTGCTTTAACATTTTGAAATGAAACTAAAAATTGCATAAGTTCATACCAACATTTGATCTTTACGCAAATTAGGTGGTGACAGGCCAGAAACTGGTCAGATTTACAAAGTCCATTTATTGATTCGTTATAAATTTGTAGGATTGACTTGAGTATCCAATCACAATACTTATTACTTATTAATCTGGCTTCGCATTTGTTCATTTCTATTCAAGTTCAAATGCATGTTATAAGTTTGCTTTCATTTTGCTACCTTATGTAAATTTTTAGCATTTCCATCATCTTTAAGCATGGTAGTGAGCTTATGCAGTCATATTTAGACAGAACAAAAGTGATTTAAATTTGAACTAGGCTAATTAATCTGCAAGTGTATTTTGAGTTATAGGGTTTGATATCTAGATCCAATTGAACGAATCTATTTTTAGGATCCATATGTAGATCCAATAAGCTATATGACACAAGGACCTATATCCCAATATTCGGGTTGGATTCCGATTGAATTATCAAATTATCAGCCCCATTCCCACAACTAACAACAATACAAGCAATTGTATCTACTGATAGTAATAGCAAGCACGCTGATGGTAATTTGTACCCAATAAAAAAGTCCATGCCATATAATTTGAGAATTCTATGTAATTGTTCAACCGCCATTAGAGAAGTCAGTACATAAAGAGTGTAGTTGTTTCGTTGGTTCCATACTTAAGGGTGGCACAGCTACATCTAGCAGACGTTCATATGGCATCCCTTTCGTGTATAATATCAGAACTTCTGCAAAGCCAAACACTTAGGAAAGCTGACTTTGTACCGGATTAGATAGGATGATATATCAGCAAATTTCATATAAAATAAATTGAACATACCAACACAATTATCAGGACATAATATCAAAAGTCGGCAAGAAGAAAACTTTGGAATATTTAAAAGTAAAGATTCTTCCATGACAAAATATCAGATGAGCTATGAACATGTCAAGTGCATCCTACATGTTAAGACCAATATCATATATAACATATTAACATACCAGTGATGATGTGATAGAAGACATAATAAAATCTTTTGAGATCAATAATAAATAGCAGATATCATCATCACGGAGTCCATGTGGTCGAAACAAAAACCTAGTGCTAGAAATTCAAATGATGATGACGAATTTGATGACGATGATGACAAGTACGAATATTTTCTTAATCAACCACTTAAAAAAGTTGTGGTCGAAATAAAAACCTAGCACTAGAAATTCAAATGACAATGATGATGATGATAAGTACGGATATTTTCTTAATCAACCATTAAGTATAAAAAAATGGAATTTCCAATCAACCATTAAAAAAATAGAATTTCTAAATCAACCATTTATAAGTAGTAGATATCATCATCACAAAGTCATTACGATCGAAATAAAAACCTAGCAAAAATGATGATGATGATGAGTAAATATTTTCTTAATCAACCACTAAAAATTAAAAGAAAAGAGAATTTGAGTGAAATTGGCAGCTCACCTACCAAGATGGCAAAAGTTAAATTACAAAAAAGGAGATAAGCTAGAGATTCTGCAATTATCCCCAAGACAAAACATCCAACTTTACCAATTGACCAATTTTGACTAGACTAAATACCTAAATTTCATTATTTTTCCTGTTCCTATCAATGAATCAACTAATTTCCATAACATCAATGTTCGCTATAAAATTTCTTGTAAAACGCATATATTTGTTTTTCGCACTTATCAAATCACAACGAATTAAAGACAAAACAAAAAACAGTATCGAAAAAAGCCAATTTTTACGAACTATTCTGACACAAATAACAGTCGTGATTCCTCAAAAATTAAACTTTTCAACTAAAAACAGTCAACCCAAACAACCATGGGAACAGTTTTTATCCACAAAATAAAAGACGATAATTAAAAGAAAAGAAAAAAAGATAAAGAAATCATGAATACCTGATGGCGATAATTCCCAAAACCGCTCGAGCCAGCGATGAGAACAGCCCATCTCGTACCGACGGCGCCATCGTCGCGGTCAGCTCGGCCATCGGACGGCAGCTTGAGGAAGGATTCAACGTTGCTTAACGGCAGGACAGGGCGCGAGTCAACGTTAGTCAACGGAACTACTAGAAGGACAAGTAGCGATATGGTGGCGAAAATTCCCATGTTTCGTATCGTATCGGGTTGCGCTCTACCGTATCGGGTTTCGGACCGGAGCAAGAGACTCTGAGAACGATGGAGACCAAGCGGGGGTCATTTTATAAGGCGAAGGTCTGGTTTAGATATTTTACGATTTTACCCCTTCGTGGGCGATAAATCTGGCGTTGGTTTTGTAGTGATCGTACGCGGAGGATTTTGGATCGTCGACGTTAGTGTTGAGGTGGGCCATCTGTTTTGGATATTTGTGTGGTGGGCCCAGGTGATTAGGAGGAAAGTCTGTCAAGTATGAGAGAGGATGTTTTCGTCTAGGGCGCGTTGGAGTATTGAAGGGTTGGAACTAAAAAGTATGTTATAGAAGTAAAAATAGCATTTTTTGTTTGTTTCATATACTTTTAGAAGTAATGAAAGTAGAACTTCTTCTTCTTTATTTATTTTTTTGTTTGGATAATATTTAGAAATATTACTATGAAGTAATTAACACATGTTGCTTCCACAATTTCAAAGTCACGTCATGCTCTTTAATTTGATCTAGCACATTACAACCAATTTCATGCCGCTATGACCCATCGTCACTTGAGAGCAAGAAGAATCCTTCAACCATATAGCTTCAAAATAATTGTTTACCTCTCGCCTACGATAAGACTCTGGATGACCATAAATTCTTATAAATATCTAATTTCCCTCCTCCATCGCTCCTTTGATTGTAACATCAACATGATATTTAGACAAAGAATTAATAGACAAACTGTTCTCTTCATCCCAAAAAAACTGGTCGACGACCATCACAAATTACTACAAAATAATTGTTAAAATTAAGAGTAATTTTATCAATGAAAAGTGGTTAGAAGTAACTAATAAAAAAATATTAATAAAAAATTATTTATTTCCTAATTAATATGCATTTCAACTACTTCCAAGCTACTTCAGAGTATTGAGAATTAGAAAAATATTTTGAAAGTAAGGATGAGACACGTAGACACCACATAAGCGTTTAAGAAAGTATTGAAAGTAAGTTTTTCAGAGAACCAAACACACTTTTTTGTTTGGAAATAGTAAAAGTAGTATCTACTTCTCTTAATTCAGCTACTTCATAATTACTTCCGTGGAAACAAGCAGACCGTTAAAAGGAACACCATCTTGTGAGTGGCCGGGAGTGGATTCAAAGCACTTACATGTAAAATAATTATGAATTTTTTAGTTACGGTTTATAAGAACCTAATTGCAGTTATAATTGTAATATTATCTTCAGTTGCAATTTTTTAAGCTATATTTGTAAGATATCTTGGATTACTACATTACGTTATCTTGCTGAGATATGAATGTAATTATACAGGTAACCCTGGACTCTGCAGATCTATACGGGTAATTCTGACAAATTGTAACCACAAGGATGATCCTGGAGCCCAGACGACATGCAACTTTCAGGATTATTGGTGTAACTACAATCAATAGCTTTAGGATTATATATATAAATACGCAAACTGTAGATTCACCGGTGTAATCACACCATACTTTAGGGTATCGAATTGTGATTAATTGTAAAACCCCGTAAAATTTTAAAATATTATTTTGAAATGATAAAATATGAGTTTTATCATGTTTGAAACTATTTTGGGATGAATTAGCATGTTTAAAATCGATTTGAGATCAAATACGTACACATATGTGAGTATCATGCACTGATATATCAAAACTGTAAGTTAGATTTTCGTTCTGGTCAATCGACCGATGGGAACAACCGGTCAACTGATGTGTAGTTATCGGTCGACCAATTTTCACAACCAGTCGACCGATGAACCCAGAATTTGGGTTTTAAGAGAGAGAGAGAGAGAGAGAGAGAGAGAGAGAGAGAAATGAGTATGCTTGGTACTAAGCACAAAAAGTTATGTTTGATAGTGAGATGACATAATCCCCTCCACTCATTTAGATGATTGCATATCCTCATGCATTCCTCAACCCATGTGAATGTGGTCCCCCATTTGAATGAGTGGATGGGATTGTGCCACCTCACTATCAAACACAAAAATTGTGCTTGGTACCAAGCATACCCATATTCCTCATATATATATGTGTGTGTGTGTGTGTGTGTGTGTGTGTGTGTGTAATACACGAAATTTTCCTCTTTTCTTATTCATATCTGAACCCTAAATAGCAGCCTCTCTTCCCCTCTAAACCCTAACACTAATTTGCGCGTTTGGGAAGAGCTTTGTGAAGTAAATCCCGAGAGAAGGGCGAGATCCGTGACTTTTGGTGAAGGAGGATTGTGTCACTCGCGTTCGTGTTCAGCATAAATTTTGAGGCGAGTTTCATCTTCTCCAATCTCATCCCCGTTTTTATTTGGTTTTATTGGATTTTAGAATCTAGTTTATGTATAAAGATCACTCTTTTTAACTGTATGATACAAATATTTGATATTTCTGATTTTAAAACATTATAAAACAGATTCTCTGTTTTGGCTTTAAATTTTAAAGTTAGTCTAACATGAGATTTTGTTAAGGATAATTGTTTTCATGTTGTTTTTACAAACATGATTATGCTATGGTTGTAAGAATCCCCTCAAATTTTGATAAATACGATTTCCTGTAGCAAAGTGAACCCTAATTACATTAAATAAGTTTTAACATATGAGTTTTATTTGAAAAAGATTGTTTTTTATTGTAGATGAAAACCTATAACTTTGTTCATCACCGGATTTTGCTCTGATCGGTCGACCGATTAGTCATCAGGAAGCTGCATCTTTCCTCTGGTCGGTCGACCGACCATAGCTATCTGTCAACCGATCAAGGCTGAAATCTTGTGCATGTGTTGTGCACGTCACCGACTGGTCGACCGAACAAGAGAATCGGTCGACCGATAATGAGCTGATTTGGTATTTTTTTTCTTCTTCACGCGGTTTGATCGCAACCATGATGTACAAGATGTGCGTCGACACACGTGCACGATTGTGAGAGTGTGCACATATTTGTTTTGAGCACGCACGAGCTATTAGAGGTGCATAATCTAACACTTTGAGTTTGTTCACGATAGAAAGTGATTTTTGTTTTGGTTTACGATAGCTGTGGATGCTGAGTGGGGTTAGTTGGCAATCCGTAATGAGACCACGGATAGACTACACTCAGAGTACGTTAGTAGGTATACTGCAATGAGACCACGGTAGATTACACTCCGTTATATATTATTATTTCCGCATGAATATGCGCAAAGGTCGATGTACCTATGTTATTGTATCCGCATAATTATGCACAGAGATCGATGTACTTATATTATTGTATCCGCATGTATATGCGCAGAGGTCGATGCGCCTATATGTCGATCCGCACGATGATGCGATGGGTTGTAAAATTTTATGAATAATAATTTTATGAAATAGTTGATGGCTTGAGTCGTAGGCGGTTAGTGAGTTTTTGATGTAGTTCACATTGTGGATTACACAGGATTGTGTACTAGTATCTGTTTTATCTACCAAATGGTAGTATGATATGCTTGGTCGACATTTGTGACATTGTTTGTAATGGTTTTTGCATGTATTGCTTTCCTTCATTATTTATTCTTAGTTTGGAATTGATATTTAGCGATTCACAATTTGAGACATGGTATATACATTATGAGGGTTTCCTTATTTGGATTATTTCCCTCGGCGTACTAAATCTCGTGTTATGGATTTCTAAATCTCAATTTCTCTAAGTTCAAGATAGATAATTTATATATCTATATGTACTAACTTGTATTTTTATACACCTTACCCCCTTTCCCCTGGGGGCGGTGGAGATGTTCTTACTAGCGCTTTGACGCTCGTTGTTTCCTCTCTTTTTAGGCAGCAAGTTAGGCGTCCGGAGAGTCGCAGGTTGACAGAGATGCAGTTAGCTCGCTGTCATTTATTTAATAGATATTTAGTGCTCCACAGTAGATATTTATGATATTAGTTTTTTTTAGAGTTGTATTTCATTTTGGAGGTTGAGTGCCTTAGTAATGTATTCAGTTGACTCTTGTATTCATATATTATTACTTTATTTCAGATTGTCAGATATACTTCTTTGCTTCTATTGGAACACGTTTATATTTATTATTGGATCTTCTCTATATTGTGCTCCTTGCGTTATTATCTTTCACCTATCTACCTTGTACCTACACTTGATCATTGTTTGACTTCCACTAGAGAGATATTACTGTGATGGTGAAACATGTTGTTGCACAGTATTAAGTGAATGGCAGATTTAACGTCATTGGGCTCACCTTGAACTGCAGTCTTATGTGAAATCATGGACATCACATTAATCCAGATATAATATTTATGAAACGACATCTGTGCGAGTTCAGAGACTATGTCTAGCTATCAAACACTTTGAGTGTGCTAATTTCAAATTGCACATAACATATTTCTTGACAGAGAAAGGAAAACGACGCATTAGAATAATAGAGCGAATAGTCAGAGCCTCATAGAGAACAAATTTGAGCTTATATATCTTCGGTAATTTTACGTCTGCTTCCTTTATAAAGCTTGAGAATTTAAAATGATCCGGTACAATTAAATTCTACGAAAAATGGGCATATGTTCATTTTTAATTTCCGGATAGAAAAGATTAACAATTAACCTTATCTCACCTGTGCTCCACAGCTATTATTATGAATTTATTGAAAAGATTGTTCTAAGATCATGAGATGGAAAAACATTTTCAGAAGATGAAAAAAGCTGCCAAAGAAAAGGTTAAAAGTAATTTCAGTATCCCGATTTTGCTCATTCCATTATCCAGTCAAAGAAATCCAACAGATTAGATGAGTAAGCTTCTACATGATACATTTTTTTTTAAAGGAAGCTTCTAATAATGGTACAGTACTAAATCCAATAGAAGGAAAATCAAAGAAGTTTCATATCACCGAAACGAGAGGATTGCGTATTGAGTTTGAACTTGTAGATACCTCTACAGCAGTAGTGGCATTAACTATGGTCCCATCATTAATATTTTGAGGCCAAACACGCAAGAATTAGCCATCCCAAAGTAGACAAATTACCATACCTAAATTGTTAATGTCAACAGTCAAAAGATTGACAACGACTGCACCTTAATAATCTAGGCCTCG